AAATTTACACTTACATCTAAAAATTTCCTTGTCTGCCTGTCCTATTTCCCCACCCCCCAAAACTCTATAACCACGCTTTATGCAGGATAAAATACTGGGACTAGGGTTATATGATTGGGGCTAAATAAGCTTCTTTTACAGAAAATTCATGTTTGCGGGATTAGCATACGCCGCGTTCCACCGAGTTCTACACCGTACCATTTAAGTACCATGAGTAAAAAAAGGACATGGGTTGTGGTTGAAGAATTGCTATTTACTAACATAAAAATTCTAAACTTTCACTAAAAACTCAGAATTTAGATAATAGCTATAGTACAGGTCACTGATCCATTGCGCATGGGAGCTCAAAAAACGGTAAATTAATACAGAAAAAGTAAGAAAAGCATTTAAACCAGCATTAAGTCTGTCAGACATAGGCATGGATCGGACATCTGTAGTGGTTTGTTCTATGTGGTTATTCAGTACAAGAGCAAGTTTTTCTTTCAGGAAAGGATTCTTCTTTTTCTTGTGCCAATTTCGTTTGATAATTGTAGAATGATTTTCTGGAGGAATCATATCCGGGCTGTTGGCAGAAATAAGAACATATTAGTGGCCACACACGGAGAAGTTGGCTTTTTACTAAAAAGTTAGATTAGGGTTGTACCTGTAATCAAATTCCTACCATCTACGCATTGGGAGAAATTTCCTACCGTGACATTTCTTTGTAATTAGTTCAAAAGTATGATAACACAAAGATTCCGATACCTCTTGAACTGCTGCTTATCGCTTTGCGATTTTCACTATTTTTTTTCGAAGTTGTACATAGGTGCCGATATTGTTCTGTTTGTTTACCAAAAAATGCAAGGTAAACTATTAAAATTATTTACATTACTTATGAATTCTAAACATTCTTTTAATTCAGCCGTATGCTTGAATCGTGGTTTTTGAATCACCCAAACATATAAACTCATTGCTGAAAAAATGAACGTGTACGACAGAAGTCGCGAATGAATATGCTGGTGATCTATTTAAGGTCAACCTCCTTTAAAGATTGACTTTTTAAAGAGCGCTTTAATTAGATTTTTTTTAGATATCTGTGTGCTTTACCTTTTTTTCAACTTTTCAGTCAGTATCAGTCAGTATATTTGGAGTAAATGACCGAAGCCC